CTTCCTTCCTTCCTTCCTTCCTTCCTTCCTTCCTTCCTTCCTTCCTTCCTTCCTTCCTTCTTTCTTTCTTTCTTTCTTTTTCTTTTTCAATTTTTTTTAATGTGTCTGGTTTGGTATCAAGGTAATACTTGCTTCATGGACTGAATTTTGTAGCATTCTATCCTCTATTTTTTTGAATTGCTTCAGTATGATTGGTATTAGTTTTTCTTTAAATGTTGGGTAAAATTCAGCAATGAATTTATTGAATCCAGGCTTTTCCTCTCTGGGAGACTTTTTATTACGGTTTTAATCTCATTACTTGTTATTGGGCTATTCAAGTTTTGGACTTCTTCGTGGTTAAATGTTGAAAGGTTTGTGAGTCTAGGAATTTATTTATTCTAGGTTTTCCAGTTGATTGTAATATAATTACTCATAGTAGTCTAATGATCCTTTTAGTTTCCACAGTATCAGTTGTAATGTCTGCTTTTTAATCTCTAATTTTATTTATTTGAGTCTTAGTTTTTCTTGGTTAGTGTGACTAAAGATTTTTCAATTTTGGTTTTTCTCTAAAAATCAATTTTCATTTTATCCATGTTTTTGTTTTTTTGTTTCAATTTTATTTATTTGTGCTTTTATCTTTTTTATTTTTCTTCTACTAATTTTCCGTTGAGTTAGCTCTTGCATTTCTGGTTCTTTAAGAGATACTATTATAGATCAGGCATGGTGGCTTGTGTTTATAATCCCAGCACTTTAGGAGTTTGAGGCAAGCACATGGCTTAAACCCAGTTGTTTGAGATTAACCTGGGCAATGTGGTGAAGTGCTGTCTCTAAAAAATGCAAACATTAGCCAGGCATAGTGGCATGCACCTGCAATTTTAGCTGCTCAGGAGGCTGAGATGGGCATTTGGATTGAGGTTAAGGCTACAGGGGCCCATGATCGTGCCACTGCACTCCAGTCTGGGAAACAGAGCAAGACACTGCCTCAAAAAAAATATATTTATCATTAGGTTATTTTAAGTTTCTACTTTTCTGATTTAGGTACTTATTGTTATAAACTGTTCTCTTAGTACTGCTTTTGTTGTATCTTACAGGTTTTGGTATGTTGCATTGTCATTTTCATTTGTTTCAGTAAAACGTTTTAATTTTCTTTTTAATGCCTTTATTGACCTGCTGGTCATTCAAGTGTACATTGTTTATATATTTATTAACTCTGTTTGATTTATAGCGCAGATTAAGTCTGATGTTTCTTTATTGATTTTCTGTCTGGATTATCTGTTCAATACTGAAGGTGGGTTCTTGAAATCTCTACCTACTATTGTATTTGAATATTTCTCTCTCTTTAGCTTATATTTCCTTTATGAATCTGGATGATCCAGTATTGGATGCATATATATTTACAATTATTATGTCTTCTTCCTAAATGGAATCCTTTATCATGATATAATAACTTTCTTTTTCTCTTCTTACTTCTTCATCTCTTCTTTTTTTAAAAAAATATATATTTTATTGCATTTTAGGTTTTGGGGTACATGTGAAAAACATGCAAGATTGTTACATGGCAATGTGGTTTGCTGCCTTCCTCCCCATCACCTATATCTGACATTTCTTTCCATGTTATCCCTCCCCAACTCCCCACCCCCTGCTGTCCCTCCCCTAGCTCCCCACTACAGACCCCAGTGTGTGATGCTCCCCTCCCTGTGTCCATGTGTTCTCATTGTTCAACACCTGCTTGTGAGTGAGAACATGCGGTGTTTGATTTTCTGTTCTTGTGACAGTTTCCTGAGAATGACAGTTTCCAGGTTCATCCTGTTCTTTTTAAATAATCTATATGTTTATCCCCTATGCCAGGGAAACTGGAAACAGACAGAAGGGAACTGGTTTTTCTTTGCCATGAACGTGGCTTCAGGTTTCAGAATTTCTGTATATGGATGTGTTCCCCTTATACACAAAAGAACTACATGCAACTTCGGTGAGAATTCACTTCTTTTTAGAGTCAACGATAATATTTAAGATTAACTGCTGTTTTTGCAAGGTGCAAATAGTCTGTGTTCTTAGCATCATATGGAAACAGTGACTTAATGGTAGGAAGAGAATTATGAAACACATTAAAAGTTACCCTAGCTCTCAACACTTTGACTGTGGGGAAGCTGGGATATTTGCAAAAACTTCTGTGTATAAAATGGCAAAACAATAACCTGTGGTAAGTGAAAACAAACAGGAAATTAATTTTCACAGACCAATAATAGAGAAACTATTAAAAAAGCAATGATTCTGATAGACCCTCTGTGGTTTTCTTTATGTAGACCATTATGGCCCTTGTAAAATTAAATGTCATGCTTTCTTTTGTATCTAAAAACTTAAAAAATGATTATATTTTAGTTTTATTAATAATAAAACATTTATTATTATTATTTAAGTTTTGGGATACATGTGCAGAACAGGCAGGTTTAACATAGGTATACATATGCCATGGTGGTTCGCTGCATCCATTAACCTATCATCTACATTAGGTAGCATTTCTCCTAATTCTATCCTTCCCCTAATCCTCCACCCTTGACAGGCCCCAGTGTCTGATGTTCCCCTCCCTGTGTCCACATGTATTCATTGTTTAACACCCACTTATGAGTGAGAACATGTGGTATTTGGTTTTCTGTTCCTGTGTTAGTTTCCTGTGTTAGTTTGATGACGATTTCCAGCTTCGTCCATGTCTCTGCAAAGGACATAAACTCATCCTTTTTTATGACTGCGTTGTATTCCATGGTGTATATGTGCATATTTTCTTTATCCAGTCTATCACTGATGGACATTTGGGTTGGTTCCAAGTCTTTGCTATTGTGAACAGTGCTACAATAAATATATGTGTGCATGTGTCCTTATATTAGAATGTTTTATAATCCTTTGAGTATATACCTAGTAATGGGATTGCTGAGTCAAATGGCATTTCTATTTCTAGATACTTGAGGAATTGCCACACTGTCTTCCACAATGGCTGAACTAATTTACACTCCCACCAAGAGTGTAAAAGTGTTCCTATTTCTCTGCATCATTTCCAGCATCTGTAGCTTCCCAACTTTACAATGATCAACACTCTAACGGACCTGAGATAGTGTCTCATTGTGGTTTTGATTTTCATTTTTCTAATGACCAGTGATTATGTGCTTTTTATCAAGTTTTTTTGGCTGCATAAATATCTTCTTTTGAGAAGTGTCTGTTCATATCCTTCATATACTTTTTGGCAGGGTTGTTTGCTTTTCTTGTAAATTTGTTTAAGTTCTTGGTAGATTCTGGATATTAGCCCTTTGTCAGATGGACAAATTGCAAAAATTTTCTCCCATTCTGTAGGTTGCCTCTTCACTCTGATGATAGTTTCTTTTGCTGTGCAGAAGCTCTATAGTTTAATCGGATCCCATTTGTCAATTTTGGATGTAAACAGTCTAAAGAATTTTTTAAGCAACCTATTTAAAGTATTTTATATAGATATTATTACAAATGTTAAATTGATTATATGATAATCTGCTGTGATGCTTATTATGCCTTTATTCTCTATTGTTTAACTCTTGTTTGCTATTATTTTATTAGTAGTACGTTAGGTTTCATTTTATTAAGTTTACTATCATATTTTCTTTACTAAACAACTAGTATCAAAGAACCATCATTGACATTTTCTCCCAATTTACTATGGGCTGATTTTTCTTTTTTTTTTAAAATCTTTTTTTGTCTTCATACTTTAAGTTCTGGAGTACATGTGCAGCTTGTGCAGAATTGTTACACAGGTATACACATGCCATGGTGGTTTGCTGCGTCCATCCCCCTGTCACCTATATTAGGTATTTCTCTTAATATTATCCCTCCCCAATCCCCCCACCCCCCTGCTATCTCTCCACTACTCTCCCCACCCCTCAACAGGCCCCAGTGTGTGATGGTCCCCTCCCTGTGTCCATGTGTTCTCATTATTCAACACTACTATGGGCTGAGTTTTCTATTTAAAAAAAAGTACTTAGGAAAGAATATTCGACAATATTTCTGAAGTTTTTTTTTTTTACATTCATTAAGTTTCTTTTTATGTCAAATCTAAGTTATTGCTGATACAAATTACACCTGTTTCCTCTGAATCACTGGAATTGGGTGGTTGTCATTTTCTTTTACTGACATTAAGGACGAAACTTTTTACAGTGTCATTTACTTGTGACAAATGGTGCAGAATCATAAAGAAAAGATAAAAGTTAATTGGTATTCTTCAGCTCAATAACAAATCACTTCAAAGAAATTTACTAAAATTTTCCTGACTGATACCCCCAAACCTCAGTAATTATTACCACTTTGGTTACAAAATAATTGTGGTAAACTTACTCTGTTGACTTCATAACACTATCTAGTCTCACAATTTTAATAATTTGCATTTTAGTTTATTCACCTCCCCATTCTTTAATTTAATTATCTCATTCCTATATAAATATATCTTGGGAAAAAATCACTTAGAATGGAATTTACAATTGTTCTATATTTTTCAGCGACAGGCTTTATCCACAACTATATAAAGCAACAGCATTAATTGAAATCAATTTTAGTTATTCAATAAATGTGTATAGAATTTGCCAATTTCTGTGCATAAATTTAACGTTTTAACAAACATTAATCATTGAACTCTCTCCAGAATATTGTGGAGTAGATAGTATCATTGCATCCTTTTATTTTTCAGGAAAATAAAACAGAGGGTCAAGGAATTTGGCGAGGGTTTTCTGCAAGTTAGTTCGCTGTATCACTGGGATGCCAACCCAGGTAGATTTTTCCCAGAGTCAAGTGCTCTTAATCACAACGCAATTCTGTCTGCCCATGGTGTATATATATTTGTAGTTATATATGTAACCATATTAATGCATATCATATAATACCATCATTTAAACACTGGTAAATCTGTCTCCTAAATATGTAATTCTCTCCCTACCTAAATATTTTTCTATTATACCCCAGATATAACCATTTTTATTCTACCTGTATTCCAAGCCAAAAATCTACAAATGATTCTAAATGTTTTCCTTCTTCACATAACTACTAAGTTCCTAATTTGGCCATTATGCTGTCTGAAATGTTCAAACATCTATATATTTCTTGCCCATACATTATCTGTGCCTTTGTTCTGAGCTTTAATACTTCTCTCCAGAATGATAGACAGCATCCAGAGGAGTTATGTCAGCTGGGTGTGTTTCTCCTCTAGCACTCCCACAATGATTAATTTACACAAAATAATGAGTCAAAGTTTAGTATTCTCAGATCTTTTCTATAAAGCAAGCCAAGGAAGCTAAAAATAGGCACATATTTTACTTTATCCCTGAAATAAATGGAAATTTATCAATTATCCAATTAGTAATATTTTTCAGGAGTTTAACTATATTTTTGGATTACAAAATACAACTGTAAGATTAAGAGAAAAATTAAGGAGAGATTAAAGCAATAGAAATAAGTAAAATAACATTTTCTGAGTCAAACAATTTTTCAGCTGTTAGAATTACCACACATTTGCCATCTTTGAAGCTGAGTATTTATTACTTTGTCCCTGGAATATTTGAGGTCACATCAAATCTTTATTTGTCAGTTTAGCAGTTAACAGGAAATCCATACAAGTGTAATGGGCTTCTTTTCCATTATTCCTCAAGAAGACTTGGAATGTTTTGGAAAAGTGTGTCACTATTATTAAGTCATAGTATGATATCATTTATCTCAGAAAGGCAATGCAAGGCATTTCTGAGATGGATGACATCAATCTATGACTTAATAAGGTTAAGACTTAATAAGGTTAAGATTTAATTATGTTAATTGTACATTAAGATTTTACAGACACAGACTTTTAGGCACAAATTATTTAGGTATTTCCTAAGTTAACTGAGAAATATTAACCAGAGTTAGTGGGGAAATATTAATTACCTCTTGTCTCTGACCAGAGGACTCACAGGCGAGAAAGAAATAAAGTATTTTGATTGGCAGTCCAGTGTTCTTTCTCCTGCAATATAAATTATCTACAGTCCCAGGGAAATCATTAGCACAAGCATGAGTTTCTGACACAGACAACAATCACACCATTGTTTTCTCAGAACTTAATGAGAAGATGTATAAACACAAAGTAGAGAAGATGCCTCACCTAATCCAATTCATAAACCTTAGTGTGTGTGGCAAGAGGTTTCTATTACTGAGAAAGAACATGTTATCAACATGTATATTACTATTATAGTAGGAATTGAATTCCACATTTTCTTATAGAATGGATCAATTAATAATTGGCATAATATGTCTTAAGAAAAAAACAGGGATTTTACAACTTATAATAAAGCATTAATTCTGAACGACCAAGAATAGAAGATAATATAGACAGCAATGACTCTCTAAGGAGACATCTAACTAAAGAAGGACATCCAAGCTAGGTTCTGAACTGTCTCATAAGAAAGAGAAAGGAAGGTAGGATTCCACCTACTAGTTGACATCCGAAGTGATATTTGTTGGCAGAAGAAGTCTATCTTTATGTGGTAAGAATGTGACTGAATTACCAAAATTGTTGCAAGTCTAAGTTTACAATTTGAAACTCTGTAAGGTTCTGTTTCTATATTTAGTCTATAAAATCAATATTTATTTTAAACATATTTCTCTGATTAAGATATTACTATGCAAAGTGAATCAAAAGTATAATTCTTTAGCCTTAGAAAATGTCTGCAGTTTGAGTGTTCTAATGTCAATAATTTAATGATTAATAAATCATAAATTATTAAATCTTTTTAAATTTAAAATTTATTTTAGATACCAGGGATACATATGCAGGTTTGTTACAGGGAAATATTGCACCTAGGTAGTCAGTGTAGTACCTTATGTAGTTTTTCAACCTATACCTCCCTCCTTCTCTTTCCCGTCTAGCAGTCTGCAGTCTCTTGTTTAGGTTCTGCTTGTAAGTAAAAACATGCAGTATTTGGTTTTCTGTTCCTGTATTATTTTGCTTAGGATAAAGTCCTCCAGTTCCATCCATGTTGCTTCAAAGGACAATGATTTTATTCTTTTAAAATTTCTATATAGCATTCTGTGGTGTACATATACTACGTTTTCTTCATCTAGTCCACCATAAATTGGCAACTAAGTTGATTCCACACCTTTGCTATTGTGAATACCATGGTGATGAATAGATGAGTGCATGTATCTTTTTGGTGTAATGATCTATTATGGTGCATATATACTCAGTAATGGGATTGCTGGGTTGAATGGTAGCTCTGTTTTAAAATTTTGATAAAATTCTAAACTTCTTTCCACAGTAGCTGCACTAATTTGCGTTCCCACCAACAATGTATAAGCATTCCATTTCTATTTTTTTTTTTTTTGGAAGTTTTTAATATGACTGATGTGGGATGGTATGTCATAGTGGTTTTGATTTGCATTTTTCCAATAACTACTAATAATGAGCACTTTTTCATATGTTTGTTGGCCACTTGCATGTCTTTTTTTGAGAACCATCTGTTCATGTTCTTTGCTTGTTTTCTAATGGGGTTATTTGTTTTTTGCTTATTGATTTCATTAAGTTTCTTGTAGATTCTGGATATTAGACTTTTGTTGGATGCATGGTTTGCAAATATTTTCTTTCTTTCTGTGGGTTTTGTGTTTACTCTGTTGATAGTTTCTTTTGCTGTGACACTCTTTAGATTCATTAGGTCTCACTTGTTAATTTTATTTCCTTGCAATTGCTTTTGGGTAGTTAGCCAAAAATTATTTGACAAGGTCAAAGTTGATAAGGATATTTCCTAGGTTTTCTTTAAAGATTTTTATAATTTGAGGTCTTACATTTTAATATTTAATCCATTTGGAGTTAATTTTTATATATGGTGAAATGTAAGGGTCAAGATTTATTTTTCTGCATATGACAAGCCAGTTATCCCAGCACCATTTATTGAGTAGGAAGTACCTTTCCCATTGCTTATTTTTGTTAGCCTTGTCAAAGAGCAAATGGTTGTAGTTGTGCAATATTAGTTCTGAGTTTTCTATTCTGTTCCTTTGGTCTATGTGTCTGCTTTTGTGCCAGTACCATGCTGCTTTGGTTGCTGTATCCTTATACTGTAGTTTGAAGTTAGGTAATGTGATGCCTTTGGCTTTTCTATTTGTGCTTAAAATTGCTTTAAGTATTAAGGCTCTTCTTTGGTTCTGTATGAATATTGAAATAGTGTGTTTCTAATTTTGTGAAAATGATGTTGGTAGTTTGGTAGGAATAGCATTGAATCTATAAATTATTTTGGACAGTATTGTAATTTTAACGATATTGATTTTTCCAATCCATGAGCATGACATGTTTTTTCGTTTATTTGTATCATCTCTGATTTCTTTTAGCAGTGTTCTGTATTTCTTCTTTTAGAGGTCTTTCACCTCCTTAGTTAACTATACTTCTAGATATTTTGCTTTCTTTGTGGCTATTATAAATGAGATTGTGTTCTTGATTTGGCTCCTAGCTTGGACATTTTTGACATATAGAAGTGTTATAGATTTTTATTCATTGATTTTTACATATTGAAACCTTAGTAGAATTGTTTTTCATTTCTAGGAACCTCTTGACAGAATCACCAGGATTCTCTAGGTAGAGACAATCATAGCGTCAGTGAAGAGTTAGAGTTTGACCTCTTCTTTTCCTATTTTGCTGTCTTTTATCTCTTTCCCTTTCCTGATTGATCTGGCTGGAAATTTCAGTACTATGCTAAATAGGAGTGGTAAGAGTGGGCATCATTGTCTTATTCTGGTTCTCAAGGGGAATGCTTCCAGCTTTTGCCTATTCAGTGTAATGTTGTCTATGGGTTTGTCAGAGATGGCTCTTATTATTTTGAGGTGTGTTCCTTCAATGCCTAGTCTGTTAAGTGATTTTATCATTAAGCTATGTTGGATTTTATCAAAAGCTTTTTTGTGTCTACTGAGATGATCACATGTTTTTTGCTTTTACTTCTGTTTATGTGTAATTATATTTATTGAATTGTATATGTTGAAGCAGACTTGCATCCCAAGAATAAAGCCTACTTGATTGTGGGGTGTTAACTTTTTGATATGCTGCTTGATTTGGCTTGCTAGCATTCCTTGATTTTTCCATCTAGGTTTATCAAATATATTGGCCTGAAATTTTATTTTTTCATTTTGTCTCTGCCATATTTTTGTATTAACCTATGATGGCTTCATAGAATAAGTTACACAGAAACCTTGTTCCTGAATTTTTTGAAAACCTGTCAATAGGATTGGTACCAATTTTTCCTTGTATGACTGGTAGAATTTGACTGTGAATCCATCTGGTCTAGGGCTTTTGTTTGGCTGGTAGGTTTTTTAAATTTACTGATTCAATTTCAGAGTTTAATATTGGTTTATTCAAGGTCTCTATCTCTTTCTGATTCAATCTTTGAAGATTGTGTGTTTCCCAGAATTTATGCATTTTATCTATATTTTCTAATTTAAGGGAACAGAGTTGTTCTTTGTATTCTCTGAGGATCTTTTGTATTTCTGTGGGATCAGTTATAATGTGATCTTCGTTATTTGTGAGTGTACTTCTTTGGATGTTCTTTTTTTCTAACAATTTTATTTTAAATATTAACCCAAGGAGATATTTACCTTTTAATAGAAAGTGAATTTAGATTACAAAAGTGGAAAATGTGCTCTGTTTTAGTGTTTTTCTTTTCTGAGGAAGATTTTAAGTGCGATGTTAACATACAGTAGAGTGAGGCATCCAGGAATTTTATTTCAGATTTGAAAAATGAAAGTATTAGGCAAATATGTATAACTGAAACTGCCTTTGCAAAAATTATATCAGTGAGGGAGATTCGATCTAGTCCACCATCCTCTTGCTTTTAGCATTCAAGTTGCCAAGTGAGCTTTGAGAGACATTTAGTTTATAGATATTTTAAATGAAAGGGAAAAAAAAAAAAAAAAAAACCTAAAATGTTTTTAGGTTTTTAGCATTCAAGCTGCCAAGTGAGCTTTGAGAAACATTTAGTTTATAGATATTTCAAATGAAAGGAAAAACTAAAAACAAAAACAACAACAAGAAAAACCTAAAAGAAACACATTTAAAAACACACATATACAGCATGCTGTTGAAAAATGCATTTTAAGAAAATGCAGTAAATATTGTGGCCAACTAGTAGTAGTGCCAACTACTAGCTCAACATGATTTTAACTTGCTTTAAAATAATGAAAAAACTACATTTTCTTCCCTCTTACTTTTTATCATTTTACATGTAATAGGCTTTAATCTTTATATAATATATTTGGAAAGAAATGTATTGATAACTACCAATTAAATAGCACTTGGTGTCATGAATTATTCTAAACACTTTTAATGTTGTTTGTGTGTACCCAAGGAAATTTCATAACACTTCACAACAATTTCATATATTAAAAAATGATGACTTGAAAAAATCATTGCAATTAGAAGTTAATCTATTCTGATTAGTCAGATGTCAGTAATGTGATTTTCCTGTTGGGACATAATAATTACTGAAGAACAAGGACCAGATGAAAGAAAATGGACACTTTAAGATTTGCAATAAGATTACTTTATATCCCTGACTATGACTGATAGGGTTTGGCTGTGTCCCCACCAAAATCTCACCTTGAATTGTAAGTCTCTTAATTCTCACTTGTCATGGGAGCGGTCCAGTGGGAAGTAATTGAATTATGGGGTGGGGGGCAGATATTTCTTGTGCTGTTCTCATGGTAGTGAATCAGTCTCACAAGATCTGATGGTTTTATAAAGGGGAGTTCCCCTGCACATGTTCTCTTGCCTGCTGCCATGTAACAGGTGACTTTGCTCCTCATTTTCTTTCATCCATGATTGTGAGGCCTCCCCAGCCACGTGGAACTGTAAATCAATTAAACCTCTTCCCTTTATAAATTACTCAGTCTCAAGTATGTCTTTATTAGCAGCCTGAGAATAGACATTCAAAAGAAGAGAAATGAGATAAGAATAATCTTGGCCGGTTATGGTATTGCATGCTTGTAATCCCAGAACTTTGGAGGGCTGAGGTCTGTGAATCACTTTAGGTCAGGAGTTCGAGACCAGTCTGGCCAACATGGTGAAACCCATCTCTACTAAAAATACAAAAATTAGC